AACTTTTTACAGCTGCCAAACAGCACTTGACACCTGCTGTTGTGAAGTATAAAAGTCTGGACACTTGTGCTACATGCATAGTTTACTGCTAATAATGCAATTGTATTTTGTGTCTGTCTACGGTTGAACATCGATCTATCCCGTGCTTCTACTTTGTAATGAAATCAAACGTGATAGAAAGAGCATTTTTATTAATTAAACAATTTCTGATCAGTATGTATGTTTGAGAGAAATAAGTTTCGGTTTATTATCTGCTGCAGGATAAATGTACAAGCAAGGTTGTACGCATGACTATACTATGCAATCACCAATTATGGAATGAATATTGGACTCGTCAAGTATGATATCTGTTAATCATGATATGTAAATTGCCGCCAAACATCGAATAGATGGTGATTTACATCGGAAACCGTCTTTTACAAGTTACCCCATATAAATTTGATAAGCTTCCTCTTGTTGTGAAAACAATACAAAAACTCTTTAACTGAAGCTATACATGTCAGTAATATGACATATTTATTCATTGTATTTCTGCTGCAATAATGAAAAGATTCATCTTTTTTCTTATTTTCTTATCAGTAACTCTCTTTTCCAGAACCACATCCACGTATATGTGAGTATTTGGTTGTAATAAATCACCTAAATCTGTACTAATGATTTGAGGCACAATTTAAATCACATTTGGGAATTAACATGCAATATTGCGTGTTCACATGCCGATTTCTTGAATTGATTTCTTTCAAACATTTTTTTTTCATTTACTAGTTATTTTAAAAGACTGAAAGTATGATTCTTACACTCGTTAAAATACATTAAATAAGACAACTATATAAATATTTGGCAGAAAACAAACATTTGATATATTTTAGGTATGACTTGAAGAGGATTTTGCCGTGTTGGGCTTTCTTTAGGGATTCTGTATTTATCTATTTGAAGAGGAGATTGTTGCAAATTATACTGTTCTGCATTGTTGAATAAGAAGTATTTAGCAAGGACTTTTTTTTATCAAAGTGCGTTTACCTGAGACAACTTCTTTCTTAAAACTAGGTTTCGCTATTAAATTTAGAAAATTTTAAAATTCCTTGATATTATGTCCAATTCACCAGAACTTTGTAACATCTTCTGAGAATATTAATTTCAATTTCAGTGTCAAAATGTGCATGCACAAATAATACTATTTTAAACATCAATTCCGTTTTTTCTGAGAGTGAAAAAAGATCATTCTGACGTACCTAATTACCTCATCTTAGATTCACTGGGTAACATAAGGTCGGGGCTATTTTACCAATAAGGCTATGATTCATAACTCTTCAGTAAAGGTCAAACTATCTAAGCTGTGATCATAGCAATTGTGGGGTAAACAATCTTTCGTATCATTCTCTTGAAGTTTATTATTATTTTTTTTATAAATCACTGTATTGACTTCACAAGTCTCTTTCTGGTGAAGTTTGGTAAACAAACGACCCTCTTTTAAATATAAAATTAGTTAAGCAAGAGATTTTGTGTAAAGAAAAACTATGTAACGACGGACGACGGCCATCATTAAATCAAAAATGTTCTCCACTGAACACAACTGCACTAACGTAAACTCAAAAGATAATGCTTGATGCTTTTGTATGTAATTCTAATCTGTACCTTTTATAAAAAGAATGAAACTTACCAACCGTAAATAAAATAAGTACCAAATGTGTCAAACAGAATAAAATACTAATTCATCAATATACTATTTATACTATTTAAAAAAAACTGTTCAAAGATTTGTATAAACGAAAAGAAACATGACTTTTTCTGTTGAATTTAAAATGTCATGACGCTTCAAAGTTTAAAAAAGAAAGAATTTTGGGCGTTCTTAAGTGATTCCGCTTTTCTCTTGTAACTCATAGTTATTGTTTTTCGGTAAAGCATTATTGCTCTGTGTGTTAATTAATAGTTCTTCTATTATGACATTATGGTTTGATGGTTCCAGTATTTCTTCTTGAATGTTGTTAAATTCCCATTGTGATATGTTGTCTGCTTATCTTTTTTACATCCTTTCGTCTTTAACATACATACTTATAATATTTAACAAAATGTATGTCCCATTTCTTAGATACAGATAATATTTAAGGTGAAAAAGTGAATGTTTCATTTCTTAATATGATTTTCCTAATTTTGGTGAAAGAATTGAATTTCTGCAGATGTTTTAAAGTCCAAAATTTCCCCATGTCAGTGTCTGTTGCAGTTCTACTTACGGTGTTAATAGGGGGCTTCCGCTACCTGCCATGAACAAGCCCAACAAAACCAAGTCAAGAACATGTTGAAGTTTTCCGGGTTTTTTTGCTTGCGTTCATGAAAGAATCCTCTTTTCCCATTTTACAGTATTACATTAACTGAATAATTCGTTTACAATTTCAAGAGATATACAGGTATATATTTGATGACGTGTACTGAAAATTCTGCTAATTCCATTTCATTTAAAAGAATCTTGTTGTTTGTTTCTGAATTTACGATTCAAATTTCCTTTGAGTGTTTTACTTTCTGCATTACTGATAATATTCTGTGTATGCAAATTAATCAAGTGTTTGTCTGATCATTTTTTGTTCCAAACAAAGTGGAAAGGTTAACATTGAAAGTGACTTATACGAGGATTGATCAAAATGTTCTTGGCCATATGTACTTCCGGTAGTCAGAGAACCCAACAAATGGTCGAACTTTTCAATGTAATTGTCCTCTACATCAATGCACTTTGCCCATATGTGTTCCAACTTGTCTAACCCTTCAAAATGTAACTATCTTTGTTGGTCCTCGGAGAACTCATTGACCGCCTCCATGACACCTTCATTGCTTCCAAAACAAATTCCACAAAGCTTTGTTTTCAGTTTCGGAAACAGGTAGAAGTCAGAGGGGGCCAAGTCCGGAGAATATGGGGGATGGGGAGAATTTCAAAACCGTAGTCAGTTGCAGCAGCCATCGCAAATTGGGAAGTGTGAGCTGGCGCATTGTCGTGCAGAAGCAGATCGTCTTGTCCCTCCTTTTACGCGCGATTTCATGACGCAGACGTCTCATTTCGTCTGCATAGTACGTACCGTTTCTCAAGATAGTCAATCATGATTATGCCCTACTATTCCAAAAAATGAAGCAATCATCTTCCCTGCTGATGGCATGAATTTCTTCGGATTGGGTGAGCCAGGGTGCTTCCACTTCATGCTCTGTTATCGAAGTGAGGAACCCATGTTTTATCCTGATTTCCAATCCAGTAGATAAAATAGGTTCATCCTATGAGCGAGATAAAAGATATCTTGAAATGTCAAGCCTGGTTTGTTTCTGGTCTTCAGTCAACTGTCTGGGGACCAATCTAGCGGAAACCTTTGACATGCCAAAGACATCAGTCAGAATTGCCTGAACTGAACCAAAGCTTATACCAACTTCCCTAGCAATGTCTCGCAGGTCTCGCGTTCTGTCGCACATGACCAGGTCGTGCTCAGCTTCGACAGTTTCATCGTCGGTGGCCTCTTTTAGCCGCCCAGGCCGCTCATCATCTCCAGTGCTCTCCCTGCCCTTCTTTGATTCAGCAGCGCATTTTTCCACAGTGCTATAGGAAGAGGACTCCTTCCCAAGTATATCCATGAAGTCTGCATGGATTTCTTTAAGGGGACATCCCTTACTTATAGAGGTACTTAATGACGTCTCTGATTTAAATTTTCTCCATTTAGTCTGAATGACACACCCTTCTACTGAGCATAGTGTGTTTATGTTACTTAATCTGTGTAATCCGCGTGTAACTCGGTCAGTAATCTTCAATAAGATATCGGTATCGACGTATTGTGTGTAAATGTCAGTGAAGTGGTTAGAAGTATAGAAGTATATCGGGCCGAGAACTTTTTGATCAAACCTCCTAGAGCAAAATATCTCAATCACAATTTTGTTCCACCATTTGATTCAATCTGGATTCTCTTTATGATGCAAAATTAAAGATTATTTCTTTGTTGCCTCTAATATCTGAAATTATTTTAAATACTAAATAGACAAGGGGTGCAGTAAAAATTGAGGAAATTGGTACATTAATGTATAGAATAAACGTTTACACAATTTATGTATGAGTTTGTTGAACGACATTACATTACTGAAAATATAAAGTTTTTCCTCGTATAATATGCATTTTAAATTTTACATGGGATATATTGCGTTGCCTTCTCTAAAGTGTAAGTCAAGCTGAGCTTTACGAATTATTGACTGTAAAGAAATCTTTATAGATTTTAACAATGTTTCAGACGTGTTCCTAAAATGGAAGTTAGTAACTTATGTTGTTGCTGTTTGGTGCCATTACAATATAATGCTTTGCATTGCCTTCTTCATATAGTTAAAGCAACATTTATAAAAACTTAATTATTCGGTTTTGCTTTTGTTTGTGTCACTTTATGCATTTCCCCGACAGTATTTCAGTCATATAGGCGGGTAGATTCCTAACCATCGTTCCTGGAGAGTTACACCAGTACTAGACTACCTTCCTCCGCGCTAAACTACCAAAGCATCTCACGGGGATCGAACCAACGTCAAAGAGGTAACTGGATTAGAAGGAGGCGGTTAAAATCTATGTATAGAAGTGATAGGTAGGTTGTCATGTCAATTCAAGTATATTAAGGTTTGTTTTGTTGCTTTCTTTCGTAATGCAATGTCAAGAAACTATAGACAATAATTTGTTTTGGGGAATTTCGACACATGAAATAAGCTTCTTGTTATTGCAACATCGTGTATATATAAGGACAAAAACAAGTCACTAAACATTGCCAGAGATCTTTTAATCTTTACGAAGCATTAAAATTTTAAGAAAAATAAATCACTTTTAGAAATATTGTACAATAAAAGTGGGGAGAAGAAACCTGCGAAAATGAATTAATCTTTAATCTTTTATTTATATATATATATATATATATATATATATATATATATATATATATATATATATATATATATATATATATATATATATATATATATATATATATATATATATATATATATTTGGGTTTTATCAATTCAATATGCTCGTTCTAAAACAACATACTGACGATGAATACAAACATTTACATTAGTACAGACAAATAAAAAAAATATTGATCTTCGTTATTGTATTCCTTATAATGTATAATTATAAAATTCATTTCTCCAATGTCGGCTTAAACTATAAGGTATTTTACAATAGTTATTTAATAATTCTGTTTGATTCAACACATGGACGCTTTACAAAATAGCAGTCAATTTTTAAAATTATTTTTTTAAAGTTTACAATGAAATATTCCACGGTAATATATGTGTTCAACATCGGTTGTGACATCTTAATAATTTTATCATATAATATTTTTGTACTTGATATAATTAGTGTTTCACTTAAAAAACAACAACAATATATTTAGAATGTAAAGTACACAAGACTTTTATTAATTGTATCAATATTTAGAAAAAGGCAAATAACTGGTACAGAATATAAATGTATCAATTGCAACATACAATGAATTGAATACAGTGTCAGAAAAAAGTAAGCCAATTCAAATAACGATGTTTGTGTATTTTCTTGCGTCCAATTGTCTGCAAATGGGGCATTATTTACACATAATATATCACATACCATTTTCAAGTTTAACAATAAGAAAATAAGCTTCTAATAAAAAACTATGAAAACAATTGCGATTTATTTGTTTCATACATAGCTGACAGCTATTTCATACCGTTTCTCAGAATAGTGTCGCCAAATCCATTGTATAAAATAACATATCATATTTTATTAAATTTATCAATTTCAAGTACAAAGGCTTGTTTCTTATTTAAGAATAATCTATTATGCACGTATTAAAGTGTCACAAATAACCGTACATTTGTTTTCATGATAATGATAACGCAATAGTAGGGAATTTAAAAAAAGTCAAAAAGCAACTGATATTTTATTTTTTAATTACTGTTTTCCATTTATTTCATAGAAATACGTTATTCGTCTTTAGGCAGAAACAAATGCGAATCAAGGAAATCTTTACTGAATCAGTTTACTTTAAAATAAAAAAAGCACAAACCATGTTTTGGAAGTATTTCCTATTACTGGTCACGTTAATTTGGTCCTTCCTAAAAATAATGTTATTTTGTTATGACTTATGTATACATACTGTGTTTATTTTTGTTTGTAGACTTTAAAACATTGAATATCTTCTCTGTGTGTACTCAGATGTTTATTTGAAATTTAAAAGGAAACTGTGCAGCAATTTGAGCATATCTTTAATTTTATAGAACATTGTAACGGTCAACCATCTGTACATTAAATAAGATGTAAAGTAAAAATCATTTAATCTGATATCATAGAAATATCAGTATAAATTATTTCTTTCATGTTCCATGTTAACTTATATAATTACTTTTTCTACAGTCTGTCATTTACTGTCTTAATGAATATCTTAGACAAAACGATAACTTTTAATGGCGAACACATTTTGAGTTATTTTGATTATCCTTTTTTAAAGTGTTTAATGTAAATTCTTCCGGTGTCTGTTGCCTCTTATTAAAGTCATGTAAGTTCCTCTGACTATTGTAAGGGTCATTAACACCTATATTTCTAAAGTCATACATGGTATTTAATGTTCTGCTAGCCTGTATTGATGTTGTGTGACCCGACTGAAATGAAGCAGAACGGTGGTCCGCAGATATACGGGTAAGCGGACGCTGCGGACGTAACACTGTATACCTGCGGCATAACATGAATAATGTTTGTTTAAATGTATTCCTGAAATGTCTTGACATGAAGGCATACACGAGAGGATTAGTACAGCTGTTAAAATATGACAGAAGAAAAAAGGCCATCCTCATTGGTCTGAGGAAGCCTTGATGTAAATCGTCAAGGTAACCAAAGGAAACGAGAAGATCGTTCACTGTTATTGGTCCCCAACATACCATGAACAAAACTACAATTGCCACAAGCATCTTTATAACCTGAAAAAAATACAGAAGATATGAGTTTGTGTTAACACATCCATTAAAGAATACAAAATTTTGTACAAAATTTAAAGCAACAAAGGTCTTTAAATAAAAATAATAATGAATGATGTTTTTAACTGTTTTTTCTAATAAAACAGATAATTTTGCTTTTCAATAAAACAATACTTATTCAAATGTAAATTATAAAGATCGTTTAATGGTTATTCATTCCTGGTATAAACAGTTGTTAACTTATATCGTCCGAGTTGCTATGCGAGGGTAATACAGCAAACAACTTTCATGATCACCGAGTCCAATCGTTCACTATGTTTCCCAGGCGGAGAACGCATGAAGAGATAAATTTTACAGGTGGAAAACCGATACTGTGGTAAGAAAATTGTCTTCAATTTCTTTGAAAATGCATATTTCACAAAACTTTAAAGCCTATTCTGATCTCGTATGATTACTTTATCCGAGAGGCATCTCAAACTCACCAAATCTTTGTTAACTTATTAGATCATTATCGACAACTGCACAAGAAAAGTCACAAAATTGGTAAAATCGCTCTTTGATAGCCAATAACTTGTCATCCAAGCACACGTCTAAACATTTGTATCGCTCTAAAGGTTCTTTATTAACATATCCTCATCCACCAAAAGCCTGTTCTATTTCTATTCCGTATTTTTGGAGTATAATATCGTTTAAGCGAATTTTCAAAATGAACGCATGAGCCGAACTTTTCATGTGGTTTCATAGGTTTGCAAAGTGAACGCATGAGCAGGTGGTAATTTTAAAACTCAAGTTTTTCCTAATTAACAAATTTTACATATTCAAACTTTAAAAATTTCAAATTTTATTCCAAATAAATGAGTATGGTGGCATATTTCTGCCACCAAAAAACCTGATAACTAACTAGTTAATTAAGAGGTTAACAAGTTACGTAACTAGTTAACGTTAGTTATCAGGTTAACTAGTTACGTAACTATAGTTAATTTTTTCAATAAATAAAAGATCATAACGCGAAATAAATGCATGTTACTGCCTGCAACTGCCATCCCTTATTATCAGCTTTAGTTACGTAACTAGTTAACCTCTGATAATATAATAAAAGGATGGCAGTTGCAGGCACTAGTAACATGCATATACTTTGTACGCTGTATATATATATATACATACATATATGCTTATAAGCAAAATTACGAGGTCTGTTGGGAAAGATCGTGTACAAATGAAGTAATTCCTCGTTTGTAATATTTGCAAAAGCAGTGGTTAAGACGACAAAGAAAAACATAATAGTTCCTCGAAAACTTGTAAACGATTGTAGCATTGATGTAATTTCATGAATTTCTCCAATACATGTTATTTTGTACAATTATTTATTCCCTGTTTTTTATAGTACATGAGCATATGAAAATATATTATACACGAATCACGTTTAAATATTCAACATTTCGATATAAATTTCCTTTTTTAAACGACGAATTACAAGTTTATAGAATATGTTTATGTAAGCCCAGTAAATCTTGGTAGTGTATAGTTCTATATGCCGTCCAATGCAAAGCAATTGGTAAAGGTACAAATCATTGATAACTAAATTAAAGCCATTTTAATGCGAAATTTATGTAGCATGTCGACATGCTTATGATTTGGTAAGAAATAATAATTGCACTGTGCAAATTGTCTTGTACATAATATATACGGAATTGCTGTTGTACTTGTTAAAAGATAAAAAAAATTTGCGTAGAAGAGAGCTGATCCATTTCACCTAAGAACACAAAATTTATCACTTAGAATGAAATGTATTTTTTATCAATATTACAGAATATGGAAGAATATGACGCCATATGATAAACCTGATACTCAAATAAAGAATTACCAATATTACAAATCTTACATAGATATTATCGAATTTAACAAGTTCTGTAAATAAAGGGAGTAATTAGAAACACTTTTTTGATTTTCTTCATTAAAATAAAAAAGTGTATTATTTCTAAAAGAAAAACTTATAATGAACCTAAAAATTATGTGTTATTTCAACATTTTCTTGAATGTTCATTTTGTTGTAAGGAAGGGGATATATATATATATTCTTGCTTAAAGATCTTGTATGTTATAATTAAGGATGTAATATCCTTGCGAAAGTTGTATATAAAATCAGTTCTATGAAAAACATATACTTAAGAAGTTGACTTTATTAAACACATTATATGATATTTCTTGAGGAAAAAAGGTCGTGACATTTTAGTTGAACGCAAAACTGATTTTTTTTACCAAAAACAGATTTCTAGTTATCTCCTTTTATTATCGGAAATTTTAAATTTTGGCAATGTCCTTATCAAAAATTTAAAGGTTTTTTCTGTAACTTTTAACATTGTTAATTCTTTATTTAAGCCAAAGATTTTTCATATAAGAACATAAAATTTTGAGTCACAGGATCTTTAAGTGTATGATGCATCTTTAATTATAACATACAGGAAATTTAAGTCCCATCAACCAATGATGTTGTATTTTGCAAATATTTTACTCAAAGTTTTAGCAATGACAATTTATTATATTTTCACAGAACCGAACAGACCTCACCTATTGCTTATAAGCAATTCGTCATAAGGTATGAAAATAGGGCCTTCTGTTTGCTCAAACATTTGGAACAAAAATTTTGGAATTTAAAGGTTCCGTGATCGAAAACATGTCAGATATCTATGAAAGCTGGAGTAACCAAAAAGTCCGCCTGCTCATGCGTTCATTTTGCAATCTGATGAAACCACATGAAAAATTCGGCTCATGCGTTCATTTTGACAATTCGCTTAAACGATATTATACTCCAAAAATACGGAATAGAAATAGAACAGGCTTTTGGTGGATGAGGATATGTTAATAAAGAACCTTTAGAGCGATACAAATGTTTAGACGTGTGCTTGGATGTCAAGTTATTGGCTATCAAAGAGCGATTTTACCAATTTTGTGACTTTTCTTGTGCAGTTGTCGATAATGATCTAATAAGTTAACAAAGATTTTGCGAGTTTGAGATGCCTGTCGGATAAAGTAATCATACGAGATCAGAATAGGCTATAAAGTTTTGTGAAATATGCATTTTCAAAGAAATTGAAGACAATTTTCTTACCACAGTATCGGTTTTCCACCTGTAAAATTTATCTCTTCATGCGTTCTCCGCCTGGGAAACATAGTGAACGATTGGACTCGGTGATGATGTTGATTAGAAACAAATCATAAATCAAATTTAACATGCAAGCGTTGTTAACTGTTTCTTGATTTATTTATTGGAACAATAAAATTATAGCCAATATTAAACAATAATGAAATACAATAAATCATTTCTGTGAGCAAAGAAAATTGTCTTTTTACTTTCCTTAACAGCCAACTACATCCATGATTATTTGTTATCTTCATAAAACCAAGAAAAGAAATACTGTTTCATAAAAAAACATATTATTGCTTGTAAAGACAAAGTCGATCTTCGCAAGTAGTTTATGCAAGTATTAAAAAAATACGAAAAACTCTTATCACTAGCAATTTATTTTATTTAATTCCACTTCTTGGAATGTTGGTTCTTTTAACGGAAATGTACAATTTTGCTTACATGTCTTTACCTGTTTACTCCTTGAAGTAATAATATGAAAAAAGAGTAAAGAGAAAATTATAACCACTACATTAACAAAAACAATATGATTGTTAACCTGCTGTCTAGTTTTGTAGTCATTCAAAACAGTACATCCTTTCTTTGTGACTCTTCTTAACAATGGACTTTCCTTCAGCATGGCTCTTGTCTGAGCTGGCGAGCACGTTGACTCTGATGCCATGGGAAGTTGTGCTCGATTTCGTGTACTGTAAGGAAAGAGTCAATTGTTTAAAAAAAATATATATCAAAACTGTAGTTAGATGGTCATCGAATAATTTAACCGTCAATTCTGATTTAAAGACACGCTCACTTATTGAAGGTATGACATAAAGCTCAACAAAGTAGATATCCGACCACACAGGATTAGCACCTAGTTCGGAACCGAAAGTTTTCGGATACACTCTGCTTTTCAAAGAGGCAAGCGTTTTTTAATCGAAAGGCATACAATTCATTCTTTGTTTTTTATTTTGGTTATAAATGAATTAGTCATTCAATGAAAGGTCTGTAATACCACAAATAATTTTGTTGATAGAATAAAGTATCATACGTGATAACAAACCATGAATGAACTTATATATAAAGATGATTTTGGTATGTGTGAGAGACGTGATTAGGTAAAACATCTATGTATGGCATCAAAGAAATTGCTAAAAAAACAACATACAATTATTCATTATAAAAAAATATTCATACTAAATAACATTTAATTAATATAAAATCAACATTGCCTTATTCAAGAAGTTCTTAATAAGTATATCCAAATGATATCTTTCTATTTTTTTACATTTTTTGCCATTTCAGATTAATCGACTTAAAATGAACGGTTGTTGAACATTAGAATCATTATGATTACAGTTTAATCTGTTTTATGCAATATCCAAGTAAAGATGATTTTAATCCATCCTTCAGTTGCATTATTGGCAAAGTCTTTTGAGAAATGAAATGTATTTTATGCTTTTTACGCTTTTCTAAAGAGAAAGCTAAGTATGAGTAATATGCTTTTCTAAATAAATCCGATCAGATGTTTTCTTTTGTGACATTTCGCTTCAATAAAGTCAATCGTAGGCTATCCAACTATTCCATTTGAGGCACTTTTATAAGTTATTTTATTATAAGATTACAGAGGAAAAATCAACTCATGAAGCAAAGGATACGTCAAATATAACATCAAGCCAAGAAAGCAATACTTTTCGTAATCACCACTCAAATATTAAAAAACAACAAGCAAAAAAGAAAACGAATGTATTTTCAGTCCATATTTTATAATATAATGATAATTTGTTTTCAGTCCTTAAACCCCACTAACGAGCATACTCTGTTTATTTATGTTTTTATTTTAAGTGAGTGAACCTTCTTTTCGATTGTTGTTGGCTGTATATTTGAAAAGACTTAAGGCCTGTCAGTCTTCCAATAAGTAATATTATAAAAGGGAGACAACTTACGTTTGTTGAACAACCATTGGTCGCTGCCTATGTAATATCCATACACGATGACATATGCAAGAGTACGCAAAAATCATCAACGTCAGTGGTATAGCAAGTATTACTAGGAACATATATAATCCATACAGTTTTCCATATATAGCATGTTCCCAGTGCATCTTGCACCAATAAGCTGTTGTATTTTCGTTCCCTACAGTTTTATGAACCTAAAGGTATCAATTTTTGTCAAGGTTAAATAAGTTTAGATATTATACATTTAAAGGCCCATTATGCCTATTATGAAATGATTTTATTTTTATTTCAATGTTGGTGTTCTTTTATAGTTTTAAAAAAGTTACTCACTTACCAATTACCTGAAACATCTTTTTCATCTGTTTCATTTTGTCAATAAGTACAGTTCTAGTGTATTAGTATTTTGTATGGAAGTCAAAATACTACTTTATTTACATTGTGCCACTTTTATGACAATTTTATTCCATTTAGTTCTACTTTTGTAAGGTAACAAGTATCTAACATTCTCTAAAACCATTATTAAACATTGTAAAAATCATGTTTGTCCTTTCTTAAGAAGTAAAAATATATTTTTTGTCTGAGGCATAATGTACCTTTAATACGAACAAGCAAATTCGTTGAATTTATATCCCCCGCCGAGTACTGGTTATTAATAACACAACAACTGAAGACATAAGGCTTTATTTATATATTTATCATGGCAGAAACAGTAATATTATTTGTATATGATAAATATTCAGGGCAATAACAGAGCCATAACTCTGTGTTAAATAGTAATATCTTGACATGCCAATGAGATGTAAATTGCCTTTTTGTATCTATGGTTGCCATAAAGTTTTGTTAAAATTAATACAGCAATTGCGAAGGAATAGCAATATTGCTCTATATACATACTACATAACTAATTAAGGGCCATAACTCTGTAATGAAAGGTCTGGTCTGAACAAGGCAACAATATGCACACATTCGCTTGGTTTTAATGGTTCCCATAAGTTTAATTGAATTCCAGCCAGTTGTTGCAGAGAAGTAGCGTGGAAACAATTATTGCTTTATATGCATACTGCATAACTAATCAAGGGCCATAACTATGAGTTAAAGTGTCTGACCGGAACAAGCCGACGATATGCGCATCTCCTCTTGATATTGATGATTCCCATAAAGTTTCATTGAATTTCAGCCATTAATTGCAGAGAAGTAGCGCGGAAACGATTATTGTTCTATATGCATACTGCATAACAAATCAAGGGCCTAAGTTAAAGTGTCTGACCGGAAAAGGCTGACGATATGCGCATTCCATCTTGATATTGATGATTCCCATTAAGTTTTGTTGAATTCCAGCCAGTAGTTGCAGAGAAGTAGCTCGGAAACGATTATTGTTCTATATGCATGTTGCATAACAAATCAAGGGTCCTAACTCTGAGTTAAAGGGTCTGACCGGAACAAGGCGACGATATGCACATCTCCTCTTGGTATTGAAGGTTTCCATAAAGTTTCATTGGATTCCAGCCAGTATTTGCAGAGAAGTAGCGCGGAAACGAATATTGTTCAATTTGCATAATGCATAACTGATCAAGGGTCATAACTCTGAGGTAAAGAGTTTGACCGGAACGAGGCGACGATATGCGCATCTCCTCTTGGTATTGAAGGTTCCCATAAAGTTTCGTTGAATTCCAGCCAGAAGTTGCAGAGAAGTAGCGCGGAAACGATTTTTGCTCTATATGCATACTGCATGACTATTCAAGGGCCATAACTCTGAGTAAAAAGGTCTGACTGGAACAAGCCGACGACATGCGCATTTCCTCTTGATATTGATGACTCCCATGAAGTTTCGTTGAATTCCAACCATTAGTTGCAGAATAGAGCGGAAACGAAATCGGGACGGACGGAAGGACGGACAACGCCAAAACAATATCCTCATCCCGATTCCATCGGCAGGGGATAAGTGTAATGCAGCGAAACATTTTGTGAAATAGGGTTATAAGTCGTTCAAACCCGGCTAGTAACTTGACATTCATTACTTAGTACCGATACACTGATATCTTCCTACACATTCTATGATGATATCAAGAAATTATAATTTTTATGCTTTAGTGTTTTAGTTTTTGTATCAAAATATTTTATAGCCTAAAATGTAAAGTTTATTAATGTAAGAATCGACAAGATATGATTAAATCATAACAAGCGATGATATTTATCAAATCAAATATCAGTCAATTATGATAAAAGAAAGGTCACGAAAATGTAATTACCCTTCCAACAACTATAGGCGTCGCCATTATCAAACTAAGTAACCATATAACACATATTGTCTTCTTTGCTAACGTAACTGTACTAACGCATTTGGCTCGTATAGGATGAATAATGGCATAATATCTGAAAATTGAATCCATTTTATATCCTTTAAGTATTCTAAAAACAATTCGGGCATTTGGATGAAAATCTTGAAACAAAGTGATCCTTTGGAAGCATTAATCACAACAAAATTACATGAACATTGCAGAGTCGGTTTGATTGATCCTGTACAAGAGGGATAATGAATAAGTGCAACATCCCATATAATCTACTTTGACAGTATTTTTTATATTCATGCATATATACGAGGGCTGTTAGAAAAGTATCCGGAAAGGTTTTATTACTACTTTTTTATTGACAAACATATCTAGATAAAATATTCAACACTGTTACTTTGGAGTATTATGCTTATGATCCGGTGGAACAAAATCACTATTTGCATTAATGCACATTCTACAGTATCTATTGTAACGTAGGGTTACGTTGAGCGGGGCAACTTATTTCTTGATGGGATACAGCGTCAGGAAATTTGAAACTTTTCGAAATATTCTCTACTACACGATACACACTTCTCCCATCTATGACTCCACTTGTCAAAGCATGACTTGAACGGAGCTTGGGGAGAAAACGAATCGTTTCACAAATCATGAAGATCATTAAACCTTGTCGCGTTGGGACGTCAAGATCAACATCACGCGTCGACAACATCACGCGTAGAATCGTTTTAAAAATAGTGTTCCACTCATATATGCTTGATTTCTTCACAGAACTTTTGCCTAGGTATTCAGTATCACAGAGATTGTCTTTGATTTTGTTTTTCACATTAGTACGCAAAACATTATTGAATATCACTGCTCTAACCTATAATTGCAATGTCAGTAGGGGGTAGGTTCAACTTATGTTGTTTACGGAACAATGACGTCATATTACAACCTATGATGGTACGTTCGTTAAGATAAAAGTGCGCAAACATCACGTGCAATTTGGTCAACTTTTGATGTCAGAAATACACTTTTCGATCTCTTTCGAAAACAAGTAAATATGTGATCGTTTACCCAATTTAACGAAGCTGTCCCGCTCGACGTTACCATAGAGACTGTAGGTAACACATAATTATAAATAGTTTACTTTTCTGCCGGACCATAAGCATAATTTCCGAAAGTATCAGTGTTGAAAATTTCATCACGATAAGTGCACAAATGAAAATTAGAAAACTTTCCGGATACTTTTATAACAGCTTGTACATGTATATTTATGAATCAATTCCGATTTGATATAAATCCGCCTATTCAATTTCATTCCGGTTTGTGAAAATTTGAGCACATAACTATAATAATTGTGTCAACTTACACATATGATTAAAAAGTTTTGTGGTTTGCTTACCTTTCTAAACTCAAGACCGTGAGATTCATAACTGAGCAGAGAATAGAAACATTTTGTATATAATGCACTAATTTGCACAATACTTCTCCAAACTTCCATGTGTATGAAAAGAAGGCAGCACACTGAAAATACAAAATGAGACCAATATTAATTAATACATTGACAAAAACTCCACAACTTACAAAAATATCAACTTCAACCTTAGTCAAACTGTATTGCCCCAGAACTAATGATATATCCCATGAACCTGACAGAATTGAAAAAAAATCTAGACAAACGAAAGCACAATAGAAAATACAATTAGCTAAAATCAGACATTGCCCTTAAATGTCAAGAAAGAAAATTGTTCAGTCTCCAAACCCGACAAAACCTTAAAAGTGGAGTTTTAGTTTTCGGGAAATTGTTGATTTTTGTGTCATTGACTTTGTCAATTCCAATCCGTATTTATTGTCTTATTGCTTTTAGCTTTTAGTTTCCATCTGACATTTTTGCCAGAATATAATGACTTCGCGACTTTAATGGAGATACTTGTACGTAATAGCATAAGTAACTTAAGATGTCTTCGTAAATAAACACATTATTTATAGTGTTTTATGCATATTCAAGGAATTATATTTGCGAAATGGCTTTAAACAATTAAAGTACTAAAAGTATTATTATAAAATTGTAATACTCAGATAGATATTATACATAACAACAATCTTCATTTTCTTTCTGTTGGGATGGGGGCGACACTCTTATCCTCAAATACATACACCCCAACAAGACAACATTGAAAATGTTGCAGGCTCGGTTTGATTGAGCCTGTTCATGGACGGTGATGTAAAGTGCAAGTTACCGTCAAGGCCCCCTAGCACCGACTTAAGGCTCTAATTGAAAGTACATGTCTATGTACAGCGTGGTTTAAGCCGTATTGCAAGAAGTATTTGTATCATAGTTTGGGTTCCTTTCTGTTGAATTTGTGTCAGAATTAAATCGTATACATACATATACATCTGTTCATGCATAGTGCGTAAAATTGGAGTGCAGGTATTAAAATCTGGAAACAAAGTGATCCCTCGGAAGCATAAATCACAACAAAAGTACAACAGAATTGCAGACTCGGTTTGATTGAGTCTGTACATGAGGGTAAATAAAAACGTGCAATATCCCTCACGCCCACAAGCACCGACTTGAGCGGTACTCAATTCTCAATACTTAATAGTGCTGGCATCAATGATCCCGAAGGACCAGAAAAATATAACAACACTGAAAAGAAGTTCGGGGCAACTTAGTTACCCGAACTCCAGACAATGCCCATTGATTGGCTAATTTCTTCTGAAGTTTATATCGCATATTATACAAAAGAGAAAGAACATCAAAATACTCGGAACTCTGATTGATACTCGTTGGCTACGCCCCCCTCTTACAAATCAATGCTCTTTCTATTACTTATTTAGATACATACGGCGATGTTTGTCAGGAAGAGTTTTATACTTGATATGTTCATTAAAAACAAAAGTTTAAAGAAATACTTTAATTAATTTTGTTTTAAATACAGGAGAGGCATATAACGATATAATATAGAGAAAACTCAGATATTCTTTTATCCACCGAAAAAGCAAGTCATTATTATGCTGCTGACCGTTCCAAGGCGGCGCCCCACTGTGTTCCTCAGATGTATGTCTATGTTGTTTCATACTGTTTTGGTGACACTTTTGCTTGTGCCCCTTGTTGTTTTCTCGTCCACGGTAAGTATCTTCCCCATTGGCTCTAGTTTTTGTTTCTTTGATTAATGTAACTGGTGCGATCTCTAAATACGAAATAGTATTTATTCATGTTAAAATGTAGAATTCTGCTTATGCCGGTGCTAGGGGTCGTGGACGGTAGCTTACAATTATGTAACAGGCTCAATCAACTCGAGTTGGTCCATTCATAGGGATTCTGTTTTTCTATATTTTGGTAAAAAATGATGCTCATCTGAGATTGTTTACGAATAACATACAATTGATTTAAATAATGTGCCATATAAATGAAATTATCTTCCCATGAACGTTACTGGAAAGTACAAATTACCGCCGCAAAGTTTGGCATTTTAAACTGACCAGAAATATTTTTTGCAAGGAAATAATGACATTAAATGTATTTAAGGGCATTTTTAACAATAAAGGTTTAGCGATTGCAAATCTGTGTGTATTTCATTACTTTAAATACACAAGATTTTACTCGTCGTGTTCCTAGCCCGAGCGGATGCTAACCTCGTGCCGTGTGCCTCGAGGGGAGGCCAACTTCAGATATTCATAGGTCAGGTACAAATGTCGCTACAAAGGATCCCCAAAAAGCTTAGAGGAGATGTGGGATGGCAAGGGAAAAATGACATCAGAACTGAAATCTGAACTATTTTTCATGTATGAGTTTTTATATCAATACAAATTTGTTCTTAGTTACATTCTAAGACATGTTATGATTATTCTTAATTTGAAATATTAGATTATGTATCTCACACTTGCCAACAAATTCCATACATAGTTCATTTGTGGTTTGTTGTTATGTATGATACTTAATACTTTCAACGTTATAATTCATTGTTTTAGAAACAATTCCCTGTTAGTGAATTGCAATTTGATGATATCTAATGTGCAAACTGTTTCAGGAACATTTCGGATATTCAGTCATTTTTATATTTCGCTGGGGATTTTGGTATATTCGGTGAGAGTACAGAGCGATTTCCTTTCGGTCAGGGACTCATTGTAGTTTTTTTTAACAAAATTGGGCATATTTCTGGTAAAAAACTTTGACCATCAATCTATTCTGTTCAAATTCGTTATGCGTTTGGTACATGGACGGTGAAAAACAGTTCAAATTAGTTAAAATGTTAAAAAGTGAGTCAAGATTATACCGGAAATAGAAAAGTAAGATATGAAGTTAAACATTTAGAAATTACTAAACAATATTTTGTTTGTTTGTTTGTTTCATTTTTCCCAACAGTATTTCAAACATATAGGCGGGTAGTTTCCTAACCATCGTTCTTGGAGAGTTACACCAGTACTAGACTACCTTCCTCCGTGCTAAACTACCAAAGAATCTCCCGGGAATCAAACCCACGCCAGAGAGGTACTGGATTAGAAGTCATCGACTCTTGGACCACGGAGGCGGGAAATTATAATTATAAAAAATAAATGTACATTCAGGAATAATCCATCTTATCTTTATTTGAAATTTAATATTATAGTAACAAATTATTTCTTAAGAATGCGCGCAATGTCTGGCTTTATTAAATGGCAGTTTCATATTTAACCATTACATTTTGTAATATCCTTTATGATCACAATAATTACTAAACATATCAAACTTTCTGCAAGATAAAGTAGTGGTATTTCTATCAGTTTCGGAGAAAACTTATTAAATACGTATTAATAAGGTAACTGCAGTTACCAGTCTAAATGAGACAAGGCGAGGAGGTTTTGCAAGATTGTGTATAAAAGAATCATTTTCGATTATTCCTTAATGACATGAGTGCTATATTTCCGACTTCTGCTTTTTTTTATAGATTACCATAAACTGATAAGATTTTCAAATTGGCATTCTTAATAACTCAATTATATATAACAGCAATAATAACAACCTGAAACATTTAAATGTATGGTCTCTGTAAACTTTGAAGTTCACATTTTACAGTTACGTCATATTGTGATGATCGAATCCTACTTATAATTATGTTAAACACAAGTTTACTGGTATGAATATAGCAAAATGCATATGTACCGTTATTTAAAATGCTTATATACAGTTATTTCTTTCAAAAATGCTTCATTTTTATTGAAATGCAGTCTTCCCTCCGTTTTTTTTTTATTTTCGTCATAAATCGTGTTAATTGAATTTCAGTTAGGACTAGTTTTTATTTCGTTTTTTATATCAGATATGACATGTTGACAAAGCCAAAAATCTGATCTATGTTATATATTATGAGCTATCAAGCAATTCGATAAATTGTTAATGTATTTATGTTCTCCATAAGGCATTCTTAAAGGTTGAACTGACTTAAAGCTTTAAATGACCTTTACCGTCGAGGTCAAATTATTGAATGTTGTTAAATTGTCATAAACTTGTTATATATGTACGGATTTTATTTAAACTTGGACAAAGCAGCACTTGCTACCAAACAAACATATTGAACAATTAATTATTTAGATGTGACCTTGACCCTTAATTGACCTTGACTGTCAAAGTTAAAATGAAATGAAATTCTCCTTTTTGTAACTGAGTATAGCTTTGTGAATTAAATTCATATTAATACACAACATCTTTTAGGTCAAGAGCTTAATGTATATAAACTCAAATTGATCTTGACTCATATATAACCTTGACCTTGAAGGTCAAAATATTTTATGTTCACTGTTTATTGCTATAATTGGCTGTAATGCTTGTAACTAATCAATGGATTATTTTCATACAGGGACAAAACAACCTCATGGACATGACATTCTAAAAGGTCTAACTGACCCTGACCGTAAGTTCAAAGTATTGATTCTATGTTAATTTGTCATAATTTTATATTTATGCAAGGACTTGATTCATGTGTAAGCAAACTTAAACTTGTGACCAAACAGACATGTGGAATAATGTAATAATGACCTTGACCTTTAAATGGCCTTGACTGTTAAATGATTAAATTTTATTATATTTTCTTAACTTTGTCATTTATTTATGGAAATATAAAAAGTGTGATAAATTAAAATTCAGCAAGGACAAAAATCTTTAATTTTCTTTTTTTTTAAAGATTTTGTTGAGACCGTTTGTTTGTTTGCTTTTAGAAAAAGTGGCGGTGGCGCTTGATATATAGTTCTTTAAATACCCCTGCCATTTTGTGTGCAAAAAGTCATGTCTTTCACTCATTATTTTTGTAAGAAAAATGAACTTTTGTAGTTGTTAAATGAAAAACTTGTGATTTTTTTCCAATATCACCCAGGGCTTAAAGACACATTACTGCACGTTTAGCCTACTTTATTCAGTTGTTCAACTTTCCACACGATCTTAATCCAGTATGAAAACATTATTAAACACATGTTTGTTTAAAAAGAAGAAAATATATGGATTTCTGATTAAGGTGCAATAACCATTTAATAAGAACAACATATGGCGT